ACAGATACCGATCGCTGCGGCTTCTTTTCTTGGCTTAGAATTAATCTAGTTTTGACATATGAGACAGTACTGGCTTGCGGCTCACTGTTTCTGCGAAACATTCGACTCCGATGAGTATATGTGCTTCTCACCAGAACCCGATGAAGTGTGTTCCGTTGATTTTTAGACTGAGAACTCGAGCTCCGCAAGCACTACTTTGCTTTAGGAACTGTTCCAAGTGTCGATTTGGCAAGTATTGAAAGCTCTGTTGCTGCACTTATCTTGCATTCGCCATTGATGTCGGGTATGCGTGTTGCATTTCCGGGCACACAGCGAACCTGGTGCTGCGATGCCTTTCCATCTATCGACAAGGTACCACGTGTTCGCTGCCCAACGCTGGTCATTCACGGCACCGATGATGAGGTTTATCTTTCTTTTCTCGTTCCCCTATCTATCAGCACTGTTCGCAAACAGCGGTAGGGAGACACAGACCACAGCTCACTTTTTATTTGTGTATCAAAATTTCGGTCAAGTAGGGTGACTTGAATAACTTGAAGTGTTCATAATGAAACAGAAATTTAAAGAAATCAAAGTTTTGGAATTTATTTCGCGGGACTAATAATATTAATGATGGCAATAATAGTGAAATAAACTGATGTAATGCGATCGCATTGCGCCACAGCGGATTGTTTGTTTGTTTTTTTGGTTCAACGGAGCGTTATTGAGGAACTGAAGAAGGATTCGTGGATAATCTAGCCGCTTGCTTTCCGTGCGTTCTCTTCCCACATTCATCAGAACTGTTTTCGCACGATTACATGCCGCCTTCATCTTTTTTTCCTTCATGAGATTTGAACCACTTTCGATTTGTTCGGTTATAGAAGCCGAATTTCGTTCTTTTTTCATTTCACTTCTGGGAAGAAGCATGGCATTTTAGGTGATCGATTTTTCGCATGGTGTCTCCATCTATGAGCACTGTCCATCATCCGTTGAACCACTTTGGGTAGCAGGCGCTGGCCATAACGATGTGGAACTACATGCTGCGTATCTCGATCGGTTGAGGGCATTCATCGAAACTGAAGCCTATCGAGGAAAGGACAGTCATACTACAGCTGCAGCACAGTCTCCTTCATGATTTTTTTGGTAACGCTTTCTGTGTCACTCACATTTGTTAAGTGCAAAGTTATTCTCATTTAATTTTCCCACAGGAAATAAGGCTGAAGAATTAATATATTTAATCATAGATCACTGAAAAGCTGTCATCTATGGGCAGTGAATTTGTAGATTATCCTTAAATTATTTAATTCTGA